GGACTTCTCAGGGACCATCAGTGCAATCATGATCATCACCAGAACTTTGTGATGAACTTGTGAGCTACGGCAGTGCCGAGCTGCAGACAGGGCTTCAGACTGAGTCTTGGCTCCCTGGTTCACAGTTAAAAGCAGACACTGTGAAATAAACTGACTCTTAGACTGCCAGTGTGTTGGTCATTTGCCTGTTTGGTCTGCAGGCTAGTTCATCCTATTCTGCCTTGCAGAATACTATGTTTCTTAGGCTTTCTTGCCTGCTGACCTTAGGATAGCTTTGACCAATGAGAGGCATAACAGAAGGGTGAAGGAAGAGGGAGGCCACTTCTGCCACTCTCTTTCTGCTCTGGGCAGCATCTCAGGCAGTGTCAGCCTCTGCTCCACGGTCCCAGCTCCCACCACATGGGCCAGCCACAGTCTTAACTTCTGCAGGTGGCCCCATCCTGGTTGCCAGTAAAATCGCCTCCCCCTTATTCCTCAGTCCTAGGGCAGAGTGTTGGAAGCTTCCATGTCATTAATTCCCATTTAGTTTCTCAGCTCTTGCATCTCTGCATAACGAATTTCTTGTGTTCAACTCCTTCTATGTAACACACTCAGGGCGGTTTCTGTATTCTGCCTGGACACTGACTAATATAGCAAATGACAGAAATTCAATAACACTAGCCAGGAAAGAGAAAGAATCTGTCACTTCACAGAAGAAAACTGTGGGAAGGGCAGGGCACAGCTGGGGCTCAGATCAATTGGATCCAGAACTGTCTGTGCTGCTCATCTCTGTTCTTCTTTACAGGCCAGCTTCCTTCCCCAGATAGAAGCTGCTCAAATGGCCCTGAGCAGCTCCCAGACTCACATCTTCAGTCTCAGGGCCAGAAGGGAACAAGTGTTTTTTCTTCCAATCCAATTTAAAGGACACAAGGTAAGGGCTTCTATCAGTCGAGCTTGGGTCAGTGCCCACCTCCATGGCCAAGGAACCAGGAAACTGCTTGACAGAGCCTACTAGAGTCACATGGTTGGGGACTCTGCAAGAAAATGGTGCCAGAGTGACCGCTTAAGTGATAAGGCTTCTTAGGAGGCACAATCTCAAGGCAAAGACTTCTCGTTCTCTCAAGAGTGAAGTGAAAATGGGAAGTGACGGGAAGGAAGGGAAGGGGAGGGGAGGGGACCAATGTAAGGAATGCATTTCCAGGCTATCCTCAGCTCCACAAAGGGACACAGCCAGTTTCTGATTCACAGGGGATGTCTTCACACATCCAAGGTATAATTGCTGTACCTGATAACCTTCCATATGAGGGAAGAAAAGAGAAAGAAAAGGTCTGCTGGATCCCTGCCATCTCCTATCTTTCATAGGTCATCTACATGGGGCACTATCTTCCAGTGCTGCTGAGCTATAGCCTTGCTTGGCATCTTGGGGCAGTCCCCAGCAAAGCAATCAATGAAGCAAGACAGGCAGTGTGGCACTTCAGCAGAGACCAAAATGGGGAGGCCTCTGAGGATTAGGTTGGGTCAGGTTGGCCAGAGCAGAAGGAGTAGAGGCAATGTTGGAGCTCAGAACTCATCCCACAGGAGGGAATCCACAAGCAGCAGTGTGACTGTGGCAGCAGCCACAGAGGGTCAGTCTCTGTGAGCAAGCAGTGAGGTCCTAAGAGACAAAAAAGGTCCAGCATATCTGAGGTGATGCCAACATTAAGGCAATGGGGTGGGAGGGGCAGCCCCAAAAGAAGAACAGCACTGTTCTTAGCAGGAAGGGTCATATAGGAACAAAACAATAGATTCAGGAAAAGGAATCTGCCAGGTTGAACAACAAAAGGTTCAACCTAAACACAGTATTTGTAGAATATACACGTCGAGAGCAAACAAACAGGTGCAGGCAATGCAGACAGAGCCTCAGAGGTGGGCTTGCTAGAGCTCTGTGGGTGCTCTCCACTTCTCTCACTCTCTCAGCCTTGACCACAGCCCTCCACTCTCATCTTTCCCTCTTCTGAGCACCTGTTCTGGGCCAGAGCCCATCTCAGGCAAATAATTCATGGTCTGTGCCCGCACTGGTATGCCTGACTCCAGGTACATCTCCCCTTCTCCTCCTCAACGAAGCCATCATCTCCCACCAGCTCCATGATCTTCTCCTAACTCAGTGGTCCCCACCTGTATTAGTCCTTTCTCATGCTGCTACACGGGCATATATGAGACTGAGTAATTTATAAAGAAAAGAGGTTTAATTGACCCACAGTTCTGCAGGGCTGAGGAGGCCTCAGGAAATCATGGCAGAAGGGGACACAAACACATCTTCTTCATGAGGCAGCAGGAGAGAGAAGATTGACAGCCAAGCAAAGGGGGAAGCTGCTTATAAAACCATTGGATCTTGAGAGAACTTACTGTCATGAGAATAGCAAGGGGGAAACTGCCCCATGATTCAATTACCTCCCACTGAGTCCCTCCCATGACACATGGGGATTATGGGAACTAAAATTCAAGATGAGATTTGGGTGGGGACACAGCCAAACCATATCACCAATCTTTTCAGCACCAGGGACCAGTTTCATGGTGGACCAGGTGTGGGGGTAGGGGAAGAAACTGCTCCACCTCACATTATCAGGCATTAGGTTCTCACAAGGAGCACACGACCTAGATCCCTTCCATGCACAGTTCACCATAGGGTTTGTGCTCCTCTGAGAATCTAATGCCACCGCTGACCTGACAGGAGTCAGAGCTCAGGTGGTAATGCTTGCTCATCCACCACTCACCTCCTGCTGTGTGGCACGGTTCCTAACAGGCCATGGACTGGCACCTGTGTGTCCTGGTTTCTAACAAGCCATGGACTAGTACCCATGCGTCCTGGTTCCTAACAGGCCATGGACTGGTACCTGTCTATGGCCCAGGAATTGGGGACCCCTCTCCTAACTGGTCCCCTGCTTGTCTAACTTTGTTTCACTTCAGCATCTATACACAGCAACCAGGTGGTCCTTTTAAAACCTAAATCAGGTCCTATTTATTCCCTTCCTTAAACCTCCCAAAGACTTCCCATCATACCTCAAACAAAATCCATGCTCATTGTTCCCCCACGTGATCTGACCTCCAGCCTCCTGCCTGCTCTTCTCCTCTTCGCTGCCCTCAGTTTCAACTACACTGGCCATCTTGCTGTTCTAGAGCCCCGGCAGAATGCTCCCACCTCGGGGCCTTTGCTCCTGCTAATTTCTCTCCATGAACCACTCCTCCTCCAGATAGTGTGGCTCATGCCCTTGTTTCTTTCAGGGCTGTGTTCAAAGTCAGCGCCTCAGAAAGGCCTCCCTGATCAATCAAGCTAAAACAGTACTCTGCCACATGCTCTTCCCCTTACTCTGTTTCTCTAGTCCTTAAAATACCAGTTACCAATCAAATTACGGTGAGGGGGGCGCACATGTTTACTTCTCCCTCTTCTCGCTCCCTTTTAGAATGTAAGTTGCATGCAGAAAGGGCCTTTGTTATATTGCTATATCTACTGTAGCTAGAATAATGCCTGGCACCACCAGGCTCTCAATAAATATTGGTGTGACAAATGGATTAATCTGGCAGGGGACAGATTGGTCATGATGGTAATGACAGGGGCTGGCACAGACACAAGAACAAGAGTCTTGGGTTACATTCTCCAGCCAGAGGGGTCTGGGAGGTCCCAGAGGCCATGAGCAGCTGGGACTCATCCTGCTTGCAGGTTCCAAACCAGTTTAAAAACAAGAGGAGATTTTGATCAGACAGTGTCTGCCAACAGAAGAGCCAAACTGCTTCTGCTGCAGGGCAGTTCAAGGTGAGCACATTGAAGTTACTTAGGGCCTCTGCTTAAAATACTGTGGATTTTCTATTTTTAAAAATGCTTGTCATTGAATGTCATGGTGGAAGGGGTTTGAGAATCATCTAGGTCAGCTCTTCTGCTACACAGGTCAAGAAACTGCATCTCAGAGACAGAAAGTGACTTCTTTCCAAGTGACAGGGTGAGTTGGTGGCCATGTCTACTCCCCTGTCTGGATTCGGAGACACTCTTGGCTTCTCGAGTGCCTAAAGGATTTGGTCCCAGGGACACTTACCCTTTCAGACAGCAGCCTCTGAGAACCTTCTACACCAGTATATTCCTAAGGTGAAACCTGGCCACTGGAGAGAGCCTCTTTGTGTTTAAATTCAAAGAAATCATGTGGCTTGTCAGAAGAGCAAAGATTTTACTGCTCTTATTTAAAAAGAGGTTTGTAAACATTATGAGGGCAAGGACACCTGTCTGATTCACCGTTGCATTCTAAGTACTGGCCAGCTGCTGGACACATGGTAGGCGCCCAATCATTATGGTTGACTTAAGTGGTTAAGGAAACTATAAAGTGATTCCTCCAGAAGATAAAGGTTGAGCATGAAACTTGGTATTCTCTCCATTTTGTAACCATATGGGGGATGGTGCGGGGAGGCTTAGGTTTTAGGATGATGACGAGTGTTGGAATGACGAACTAAGGGATTTTCCTGATTCTAGTGACTCAGTATGGATTAAAAAGCAACACCTTTCATCACTCAGCACTCATGGTGCTTTCCTCGATTTACAAAGTAATAAGGGTTGGTGTGAAACTTGAGAGTTACTCAGACCCTTGTAGGGTTTGACTTAAGTGGACATTTCACAAGAAATGTCCTAATAAAGCTTTGGTTATGAAATTACTGACATTTTCCGTCTGCCATCAATCTTAGGGAAAAGGCCACCTTATTGTACTTAGGAGTTTGCCTCTTTTTCAATTTACTTTTTATGAGTTCAGTCATCAGTGGTTTTAATAACGTGTTCTATTCCATTCCAAGATGTGGGAGTCAATCACGTGTAACAAAAGACCACCACTGCCACAGGCCCTAAGAACAGCTCGCTTCTTTTAAGACATGAACAAACCCCTCCTAAGCTGAGTCAGCAGAGCTAAATCTATAGCCAGACAGCAGAGGCTGAGGACAGCACCTCCCTCAAAGCCAAGCAAGAGGGATTCCTGGCCTGGGCCATTCTTTAGAGGCCCCATTCTCACCTTCCTCTGGGCTTGGGGCTCTTCACAGGGTGAGGATTTCACAGCCCCAAGAAAAGATGCCAGACCAAAGCTCAGGGCTTTCTTCTGAACCACACTTTGGGCTCCTGTCTGGGCCTCTGTCCAGGTTTCCTCCCACAACATTGGAACCAAAGCACACACTTCTCTAGCACACAAACACACACACACACACACACACACACACACATACACACACACCCCTAGACTGAAGGGGCAGTAAGGACGGTCCTCCCTGCTCCAGTATATTCCAGCTCAGGGCTCTACAGAGTCTGAAGTTCTAAAGTTAGAAGCTGATTTTCTAGGTTGTCATAAAGGGTATTGTGTCTACCAAATTACAATTCCTAAGACACCCCCCGCCACCAGTAAATGCCAAAATCTTACTTCTTACCTGGCTTCATTTCAGTTTGGTTAACAGTGTTTTGTCAAAGATGAAGGAAAGAACATACAAGTTTGCAGCTTTGCTTGTAACTCTTGAATACTTAGCATAGACTACGAAGGAATGAAGTAAGTAATGGAGCCCTCATTCCCACTCCTACCCTAGACCCCTCTGAAGTCAAGGCTGAGCTGAGAAGGCACTCCTCTCCATGGAGGCCCTGGGAGCCCACTTCTGCAGGATACAAAGCCTTCAGGGAGGTAGCAGGCAGCACTAATCCCAGAGCAGCCTCCAATCTTTTTTGAGAGAAGGAAGGAGAGACTTTCCTGGGAAGTGGGGTGAGTTGTCCAGGTCATTGCAGTTTCTCAAAGTCAGCTGTTTCCAAAAGGAAAAGAGATGGAGATGAAATCAGAGAGCTTGTTCTGGGGAGGAAAAGAAGGCCTAAGCAGACTTTAAAAGGGCCTAGAGGGGTTACTTTCTTTTGCTGATTGTCTACAAGGCTTGGAAGGATTTTGAGAGAAGGAGGAAGAGGGTAGAGGCGATCCTGGTTTTCCCATACCTTGGGGCTGCTTGGCTGAAGGAGTGCAGTTGGGCTCTAGGTCAGATGGCAGCAGAAGTAGCTGGGTCCAGGGGAGTTCCCAGGACCAGGCTTTTAGAGCTCCCCATCACTCCCAGCGAGCAGGGCAAGCTTCTCCATGAGGCACAGTACAGTGCCTAGAAGCCGTGATATTCCTAGGGGACATAAAAGGTGTTTTTATTTTAGTTGTCTTTCAAAAATTAAAAGAAAAAAATGAATCCAAAGAGTATACAATCATCAATCCAGGCGGAATTACATTTGTTTTTATACCAATGTGTCGATAAAGTATGAATTTTAATATTGCTCTGCAGGGGAAGGACCCATGAGGGCAAAGTGCCTCAGGCCCACAGAAGTCATACTGTGGCCCCAAACAGCAAGAGGCCTTCCAGGGGCTGCAGCCACACGGGAAAGACACAGCTCAGAGCTGAGGACCAGCTCCACCAAAGCTATGAGTGTAACAGTGTCCAGTTGAATATAGAAATCCAGCTAAGGTACTTAGCCCCAGTCTAGGCACACAGCAGTAAGTATAGGGTATTCCTGGTAACTGTTTATGACCATTGGCCACCAAGAAATGGTTGAGTATGCTGGGTAAGAGCACAGGCTTTGAAGCCAGACAAATCTAGGTTCCAATCCCTGCTTTGCATCTCGTCGAAGCTCTGACTTTGGGAAAGAATCTCAGTTTCTTCAGCTGGAAAATGTGGATAATACCTTCAGAGGACAGTACGGAGCCCCACATATAATAGACGTTCAAGAAATAGTAATGATGAATACTGACAGTTTCAGGACCGGCCAAAGGCAGGTACCCACAGGGTAAATGAGAAGCCTCTCCCATCCCAAAATATCTTCCCTCTCAGCCTGTCCCTCACTGCTTCAAATCTGCTATGTGAACTGATGTTTGTTAAAATGTACAAAATTCCCAAGAGCAAAGTAAGATAGGGAGCCTGGGGAAAGGGGTGCAAAGGCAGAAGCTGGGCAGAGCCTAACCACGCCTGGAGCTCAGCATCCAGGAGGAATGCACTGGGGCAGGGGCTCTGGAATAATCTGAATGACAGATTCTTGATTCAGGACTAGGAAAAAAAAGTGGGGGGGAAGGAAAGAGATGGGCTACCTCCCAAGGAGAGGCAACTTACAAACATTTCTACTCTTGCAGGTAATCTTTCTACCCAGCCAGATGGGTTGGTTCATCTTCCTGTTTGCATTAATACGCCCTCTAGAGGTCATTTCATCCTCCTCTCCGCCTCCAGACAGGGTGACTAAGAAACCCCAGAAACACTGCAGCACCTGCTTGCTTTTAGTTCTCTAGGGAAGGAGAGCTTCACAGCCCTTCCTCCTCTTCCCCTGCACCTTTTAGGTAGTTTCTAATGAAGTCCCAGAAATGGCATGGGAGCCACAAAACTTTCTAGTGATATCAAAATCCTACATTGGCCTCTGTCTCTCCTTCTCCTGCTACTTTCTGCCCCTCTTATTTGCACCTCAGAGCTCCCACCTACAGAAGATCCGCTTAGCAGGAACTAATTCACAAAGGGTGTTTCGTAAAATTTGTTTTGTAATTGCTTGATTTTTAAAAATCTTTTTATGTCAGGATAGAAAAAAAAAATTCAGCTGAATCCAGACCAATAACCTGTCTTAAAAAAAATTAAATGATTGGACTAAAATCAACCAAATGTTTTGTTTTTAATTTCCCAAACCAAACAACATGTGCGGATCCAGGCTCTAAGTTTTGTACCCTTCTCCCAACCAACTCATCCCTGACGCAGAACACAAGTAAAACCAAACAAACAGGAGAGGAAGGGCGGGCAGAGCAAAGCTCATTCCTTCCGGGCCAGCTGCCTGATTTCCATCAGGCCAAGCCTGAGACTTTTGTGGCCCAGCCACATAGTTGATTATGATTTGGAGGCTGACAGTGCCCCACAGGCATCTACAGAAGCTAGAACCTTCTGATGGCTGCCCACACACAGAGGAAAGCAGAACTTGTTTCAGATAAAAATCATGTCATGAGATTAAGGAATCAACCAGCAAACATCAGGGCTGTGTATAAAGAACCATAAAAATAATGTCTTCAAAAGATTTGGCTTTGGATATTAGCAAATAGGTCTTGGAGAGATAAAGCAACTTGACCAGCAGGGCTATGGGGCAGGACCTACCTTTTCAGGACTAGGATCCAAGGGGGTCCCAATCCCAGTCCTACGTGGTCTTCGTGACCCCACTTGCCTCCCCAACCTCAGCTAAAACCCCAGCAGCAAAGGGGAAAGTTCTGGGTCTCACTGCACTTGCATTTGAAGTATCAAAACTAAGCTGAACCCACATCGTCTCCTCCCCCACCCACCTTCTTTCACTCAGCAATAGCTAAGTGAACTCAGCTGAAAGTTTCCAAAGGATTTCACTTTGGGACTGAGCACAGAGATGGAAATTTTTAGCCTGGGAAGGAAACGTAGCAGGACACAAAGCAAGTGAAAACAGAAGGGCGGAATTAGGCAAGAGAAGGGCATCACAGCTTCCACACAGCTGTCTTGCAGAGGCCCAGCGCCACGCCTGGCCCAGCCTGCAGTGTCCTCCCAAGGGGGCATCCAGCTACTGCAGTACGGGGCATGTACACGGCCCTAGTGGGTAGGCACTGGTCTACCCCTAGGGCCTCAGTAATGGGGTCTCTGGCCTTTACCCTCTGTGACTAGACACTCAGCATTTCTTTCAGAGATATCACTGATGGCTCTGAGCTGGGCTTTCCCAGGGGTCTGACTGTGCCTGGCCTGATATGGGGGCTGCTGGGGCCTGCAGGAAGAGGCACCAAGGCACCTATAGGACCTCTTACTAGCCCAAGAAGAGGTCATCAAATGACTCAGTCTTTCAAGCAAGTAGGACAGATAGAGACTGGAGAGAAATCTCTTCTTACTGGAACCCCCAAACCTCCCATTCACCACTCCAAACAGACCTAGGCATTTCCCCATAGAAAGAATGCTGCTCCAAAGAAGTCTGAGAGCCCGATGGCACCTGCTAGGCTGCTGCCAGAGTGAAATGAAACAATGGCTCAAGGCCTGGTGCTCAAAATGGACCATTGACCACTAGAACAAAAGTGCCTTGAAGCAGGGCACCAGCTGGCTCCGTATCCCCAGAGCCTGGAACTCTACCTGGCACACAGTGGTGCCTAATTAATCCTAGATGAATGCGCACTCATGCATTGAGAGCAAGTAAAGTGCTGGAGGACCCAGAGGGCCACACACCCATGACCAGCAGCCAGTCCCTGGCTCCAGGACAGTGTAGGAGACAAGGTGGCTCTGTAACATGGAGGCTGCTTCCTATCAAGGCTGTGACCCCATGAACTTGGGGATTCCCCCAGGGAGGATATTCAAGAAAGAGCTTCCCTCAAGCATTGAAAGCAATAAGGTGGGCCAGTTAGGAGTTCACTGGCAAGCCCAATCCCTGGGAGGCGGACTCACGCTCAGAACCCCCGCAAGGCATGCATACTTTATTAGGAGTGCCCTCTTGGAGTGTCTCAAAAGGCAAATTGGATTTTTTTTATGATTAATATATTTTTATTTACTTCTGTCTTTTATATTCTGGTAAATATAGATAACATTAAATTTCCCATGTTGGCCATTTTTAAGTGTACAGTTCGTTGGCATTAAGGACATCTACACTGTTGTACAACTATCATCCTTCTCTAGAAATTTTCTCATTATCTCAAAATGAAACTCTGTACCCATCAGATAACAGCCTCTCATTCTCCCCTCCTAGGCCCCAGTAGTCACTGTTCTATTTTGTCTCTGAATTTGATGACTCTGGATACCTCCTATGTGGAATCATGTAATATTTGGTTTTTTGTGTCCGGCTTACTTCATTCAGCATAATGTCTTCAAGGGCCATCCATGTCATGACAGATGTCAGAACGTCCTTTTTTGAGGCTGGATAATATTTCATTTGCACGGAAATGCCACATTTTGTTGAGTCATTTATCCACTGATAGACAGTTGGGCTGCTTCCACCTTTTGGTGAATTATGCTGCTATGAACATGGGTGAGCAAATAGAAAGGCGATTTTTGGAAGCCAAGGAAATGAGCAATGAGATCCCTCAACTTGGGGGAAGGTGAAAAGAAGCCAGACTGACCCATCCTGTCTCTACATGCCTTTGCACCTCACCAGAAACGGGCTGAGACTAAGGCTAAAATTTAAATAAGTACATATCAGGGAGAGGCGCACACATAGGAACAAAATAAAACATGAGATGACACTTATTCCATGCCAGGCAACATCCTAACCACCTTACACACTTTAACTTCTCAACCTTCCCAGTGGCCTTCTGCGCAGATACTGCTAATGGCCGTGTTTTACAGGAGAGGAAAACAGGGCACAAAGAGATGAAGTTATTTGCTCATGTCACCAGCCAGCAAGAGGCAGAGCCAGGATTCGAACTTAAAACTTCAAGTCTATGTTTCAATCCAGCCCCGGAGGGTGGAGGAGGGGCAATGTTCTCATGCCCTGATCCATCACAACGTCTTCCACCAGCAGAGAGAATAAGGAAATGAAGGTAAAGATTCAGAAAGAATTGGTGGAGAGATGTTAGGCCCACTCTGGCTGAAGTCTTGTGGAGTTTAAGAAGCTGTGGGCTCCAAAAAGGGCTGGAGGAGTGACTGGTCCTTGGAGAAGCAAGGGTATAATTCTGAAGCCAGGAGGACTCCCGGATGGGGAGCCTTCTTGGTAGCCTAGGTTTCTGTGGGTCCACTTGCTTTGGGAACCACAAAGCCAAAATGTAAAGGAATCTATTTTCTAAGGAAAATACATACTTATACATTCTGAGTAATTTCCCGTGGAACAAGGGAAAAATAAACACAACACCCTAATTGGTTTTTTGCTTACAAATGGGTTCAAGAGAAGTGGGAGAATAAAATATAGGGTCAGGGGGGAAACTCTCTACGGATTCCAAACCTCAGAAACAGCCTGGATGCTTGAGAGGGTGGGAGGGATAGGGAGGGTTGGGGAGGGAGGCACCCATAGTTAGGGGCTTCCTGCCTCCTCTTCTAAGAACCCCTTGCCCACTCTCAGAAAACCAGAGGAAGGGAAACTGTGGAAGCACAGCCGTAAGCTCAGACCGGGTTCCACAGCCGAGGGGTTGTGTAAGTCAGCCACCAGGCGTGGAGCAGGCAGGTAAAGATGAAAGCAATGATCCCGTTGCCATCAGCTGGATGGTCAGGGACAAGTAGGTGGATTAGGGGCCAGGGCCCAAAAAAGGA